AAAAATATCGTGGAGCACAAAGTATTTTTTCTCTAATGCATATGAGTGCTCTATTCTGTGTACCTCTTTCACGGCAACAAGCTAGCCTATATATAACATTTCATGTGTGAACCCTAGCATCAAAACTTCGAGTCAAATGGACTTTATTCCACAGCCTGAAATAAAACAAATAAAGACCAGCCATTAACCCACAACTAAAATTCAGGTCATAAAAGGATAGCTTATATAATTATATAAAATAACTTAATCAGCTTAATTCAAATAAGACCTAAGTAGTTTTCGGACACCATAGGATTAAAATGACACCTCAATCCTTCATACACAAAAAAACATTTTATGCTTTTAAACCACCTAAGAATGCATGTAGGTCTCTAATTTGTTGAGAATAAATCTCATATTGATGGGATGAGTGACCTTACATGGGCTTATAAGTAAGTTGAGTTATTCCCAATATATTGACAATTGGTTTTATGGTAAAACCTTAACTTCTTCATAAGTCTCACTTACGTCCTAAACTTGAAATTGTACTTATTTACCATAAGACAACAAACATCGGTTCAGCTTGACCTTCCAAAATTCAATTTACACACCAAGGTTTAGGCTAGGAAAATGGCAATTACAATCGATATGCACTAACAATCTCCATCCCCATGCCACCATTAATTTTTATATGTAGTCCATCTATACCCTCTATACGTACTACGAGGGGCAGATGGATTTAAAGACCAAGGTGGTCCTAGGACCACCCAAAGTCCAATAAAGATGCATGTCAAAACTTTTCGAGGATCCTTCGAATGTTTGGTACAAGTTCCTTTTGTGACAACAAGGTGTTTGATGTAACGTCTGTTAGGTATATCTCGACATATTGCATCTACAACACTCTACAAATTCTCTTTATATTTCTCATCAGATTGCTTTGGCATATATCAATAGCTGTGCGTAACTGGTTTGCCTGATGACAATAAGTTCACTAAGTGTTCAACGAAATATGAATAAACTGAATATTTTTGTGCACTTCGCACTCTGATTTTATCTAAAAACTTGTATTTGACGCTGGAACTCTCCAAAGTTCGGATCCTAAATCTGCCACTCTGCGTACATACAACCCTGAAGGAAACTGCATATGAATATATATAATTTTGATAGCTTTGCTTGTAGTAGAAAAAAGTTGAAGTTTCACTATAAAACCAATTGGCAATATAGGGAGTAATCCAACTTACTTATAAGCTCATGCAAGGTCCCCCATCTGATCAGTGTGTGATTCATTCTCAACACGCCCCTTCGTATGAACACAATGGGGTGACGTGGAGCGCGTGTGATCATTTGACTTCACGTGTGAAACAACCTGCTATGATACCATAAAGAAATGTGAGGTTCCATCATAAAACTAATTAACAATATGAGAAATAGCTCAACTCACTTATAAACTCATGCAAGACCCCTCATCTCATTCATTCTCAACATGAGTAATATTAATCGGTTTCTGTGCATACGTACGTACTACAAACCCTAAAGCAAACTACACATATATCATATATTTAACACGATTCTGGTTTCTGGAGAATCTCGTATGTTCCTCTCGCTGATCCTCGTCTCTTTTAGTACCATCATTTCCCCTCTCCCCCCCCCCCCCCCCAAACGCTTCATTGATTCATCACACACACAGAGATACCCCCCCCCCTTTTATCAACAACTTGTATTATTGTACCATATGTCTTTTGAGAAAATAATATAAAATTAAAATTTGTATGGTGTATCTCTTCAATGCACATAACGACCCTTCCCAATACAAAAGAAGAAGATGATTTTCACACACCATTTATAATTTCCCAAAAGCTTTTCTTTATTTTAGTTATTAAATTAAATAAAAACGTATTATAAAGGTTAAAAATAGTGTGTTTATTATTTCTGTAAAACAAGATCTAATTCATTACAAAAAAAAAAAAAAAAAAAAGGAAAAAAAGGTGTGCATGCTGTGGGATAAGAATCAGGTAAACAATCTCAGGGGTATATGCTGTGGGAAGTGTCACCCCATACCCAGGAGCAACTATATAATCAGTGGACGGTGAGGTTGGGGACGATTTGACTATTTTACATCAAGTTAATAATGTAAGAAGCAAGTCAACATTCCTCGGAAATTGAAAACAAATTCTTAACAAATTGATGCATGGAATAAGTTGAAATTATCCTTTCTTTCCGCTATCAGTTTTCTCTCTCCGAATCACTTAACACACATGCATAGAATTGCTAATAAAACATTTGCATAGGATAAGTGGTATTCAAGTTTGAGGCAAATATTGGACGCTTAATTTCGATTTGTGCAAAGCGTTTAGAACGGGTATTCCATAGAGAAGATACCCACTAACCATAGACTTGTATATAAAAATTGGGAATATGCAATTACCATTACACACCATTATTGCCGGGGTATTACGCCAATACGCTAAAATGTCATGTCTCTATTAATTTTTTTGTGATTGTAGCATTTTGTTCACGTGTATGCCTCTAAAAATTGACCATGTGCATTTCACGTCAACATAGTAATAGAATTAACTATGGAGGAATATTTAGCATTTACATGAATTGTAAGTTTAGGGTGCTTTAAAATAATTTTCCATGTGCAAATACTACCGTGTCACCAAACTTTGCATTTCCTTTCGACACAAAAGTATTCATTAGACAAGTAAGCCTGGACTCTTAAATGTTTTAGCTATAAAAATTAAATATTCTATTTATTCACGAAAAACATAAAATAACTTTTCATTTATTTTTTGGTTAGTTATTAGGGAATCAATACCATTCTTATGGAAACAAGTGAAGAACGTCATGATTTTTGTACTTTTTTTTTTTCTATATGTACATTTTATTTATTTATGTTTTTTGTACTGAATAAATAAAAAAACACAAATAAACATGAGTTTGCATGAAACTAAACAAAAGACGTTTGAGACGAAGGCATTTTGAACGAAAAATTGCATTTACAACAAAATCCAAGAAAAAAAAAAGAACACATTCCTTTTCTAAATAATTAATATTTTGATGGTCCAAAATAACTAATATCTTCACAAAATTTTTATGATAATGTAAAGTACGAAATACTTTTTAACCGTTAGTTGTTAATTTTTGTAATTGTTATAAAAGAACTAATAGGTAATAATTTTAAAGTATCTAATATGCTAGAGATAGAAAATTCCATATCTTCATGCCATCGTCATTATTATTGATTTGCATGCGGATAGATATGGCGTGCAGATACTTAATTGAGAGACAGGTAAGAGGGTCCGGCATCAACTCCAAATGTGTCAAAAGCTAGCAATGGCTAAAAAAAGGGTTAGGTTTAGTTTTTCACAAACACACACAAGGTTACGTCTGAATCAGATGGAAATTAAAGAAAAGATGGATGGATGTCTGTCAATGCCATGTTGCCACTAACCCTAGCTAGCCCTGAACCTGAACCTGATCCCTCATCACCCAGTCATATATATAAGCCCCAACACGCAAGCCCAACCTAAGGTAAGCAGCTCTTTGCGTTATTGCCATGCCTTGTAACCATCTTATCACTCATGTCAGAAAGCAACCAACCAAACTAGACATAGAACGCTTCTATATAACATGATTAGCATAGCTAGCTAATCAAGACAAATGACGCAATGAAAAAGTGCGAACATATTTTTAAAGAAAGATGAAAGGTCCTTAATAATTTGTAAATTGTGACTTTATTTGATCGTGATCACATATATAATACAAGTCTCAACTAGCCTTCTTTGGACCCAAAAAGAGTGAACAACTGTAGTTCGTCATCCGTTATTCCCATTAAAAAAGGAAAAAACATCGCTAGCTATATAGAGCTTATATATTAGCAACCAGAGTTACAATATTAAATACAATTTTTTAATTAAGTGGAGGTCTATTACATTTCCATTATTTACATAATAAATTCTTAATATATATATATCTCCTCTTTTTTTTTTAGAGATTAATTAAGTGGTCCTTAATAGCAAAAGAGAGGACAGGAGAGATCCCTGGCTAGGCAGGTGGGTTTTGGGATGTATGGTGATAGAGGAGGCAAAGAAGAGCATGAAATGGTCTGTTTTGAGAACTTTGATGGTGTTGTTGAGGGGACAGACGGCATAAATTAGGGCAAAAAATAGTGCAAAATCAAAGACAGCCACAGATATATACGGTACGGCTACTTAGTGCTATGTATATGCTCGTGCACCTCAATCTCCCTTTAATCAATCTCGTGAAAGCACAACAACATTCATTGGAGGAAGGGAAGCAAAGGAATTTTGGGGAACAAGAAGTGGTTATTTGCAATATTTTTACTACTTTAATCAAACAAGGCCCCTCTTTTTTTATTTATAATTTATTGTTAACAAAAGAGAGAAGATTTTCCGGTGTCCAGGTGGAAGTGCATGAAAGATAATTAATCAGTAATCAAATCAAAGTATTTGTCATTTCATCCAAAAGTGAAGCACATAATTAATTAGAATAATGTTAGAGAAATTACATTTTTATACAACACTAATGTAATAAGTGATGTATGCAATCAACATCGATCGAGATATATTTATTAATTTATGTGACATCTATGCTTTGGCACGGCCTTGCCACATCATAATATAATACATAAATATAGTAGGAAAAGGTAATCTCCGTAGCATTTTTCTATTAATTAATTAGCAATAATAAGAAAGCATCTAACTAAGTAGCATATACAAATTAGCTATATAGGTATATATACAAGGAGACAAGCAACCCTCTAGAAGAAAATGATGCTTAAAGCAGTTCAGATATTGAAACTAATTAACATATTACATAAGTCAATAAAAGGTGAGAATTAGACATGCTCCAGTTAAGCCTTTGTTTGCTTCCAAATTAATGGCCGAAGAGGAATTGGTTACAGAATTACAGTTAATTAAATAATTAGACATAAGAAAAATAGGATCTTAATTATAAGGGGATAAAATCACAAAAACAAATAATAAATTAAACAAAACCAATATTTATGAGATTCATATAACACAATAATTTAAGATCAATTTCAGTCTCTAACGAAAGAACAAACTGTGATATTGGAAAAGCTAGTTGATCAGGAGCTCCCTCTAGCTGTGTCTTCATTTCACATGCAACGTCCACAGAGATCCACCCTACTTATTGCATGTATGCTTAAGACTGATCAGCTGAGTAACTAGTAGGATTCTTAGGAATGTTTAGAGAGATACATGGCAGGAGAAAAAGAGAGAAAGAAAGAGTACCCTTCTCTATGAGTAGTACAATTGAGTGAGTTCTTGAAAACACTTCAATGGCAGCTCTTGCTTCTTAAATGCGGCTTTTTATACATATATTTCTCTATATATAAATATATATAAGAAGAGAAGAACAAGACGGAAAGCTCAAACCTAGCTATCAATAGAGCTAAAGAGTCAATTAGATACATATATATACTTGTAATTAGTGCCAAGAAGAAACAGAGAAAAGGGGACGATTCTGCCAACCTAAGAAAAAAGAGTCATTGAACATCCTCAGCTGGTAACCCTCAGAAGGATAATGAAGCCGCAGCAGAAGCTTCGCCTGCGAAAGCGCAAATGGACTCAACGGTACATTCTCGAAACCCACCCTCCGCAGCACCACCTCCCAAAACGTCTCGTAACTCTCATGCCGCTGCTTCCTCTTCTCTCCTTCGACTCCCACAACGTCCTTAATCTCCCTCCCGAACCACTCCTCCACCACCAGCCTTTCCCGGCTGTTGGGCGGCAGCGTCGCCTCGAGGGAATCGAAGACGGCGCCGTAGTGGTCTAGAGCCTCCACGAACCGGTTGAAGAAGAGATGGTTATTGTGGTTGGCTTCTTTATTGGCGATGGTGAAGACTTTTGGGTTCAATGACTTGATCTTCTGGAGGAAGAGGAAGAGGTCACGTGAGTCGTCCGTGACTAGGGTGTGCAGGTAGAGGACGCAGTTGACGGCTAGGACTTCGTTTTGGTGGAGGCCCAGGGTTGATGGGGAGATTAAGTCCGACGGCGGGGATGTGTTGTTTAGGACGAGGGGGTGGAATTGGAAGGCGAGGCCGAGTGACTGAGCGAATCTCAAGAGACGCTCGCCGGTCCTGAGGAGGAGGGAGAGGTCGCGGCCGGTGGCGGTGATTCGAAGTGTGGGGGGCGGGTGGAGTGGGGAGTTGTAGGACCGCTCGACAAGGGCCTGCATAAGTGGGGGCCACTGGACGCCGTGCATGATGTCGAAGTCGAGGATGTGGATTGAGAGATGAGATGCGTCTATGGCTTCGAGGATGGCTTGATTGGCGGTCAAGTGGCTAAACCGGATGAATGGGGTTATCTGGTTTAGGGTTAGGTAACACGAGTGGAGTGCCTCCTCGTTGTTGTCCTCCTCCTCCTGTAACACTGGCAAAAACAAGTAGTTGGAGGAGGAGGATGCGGACGCACTGGCCGCATTTGTGAGAGCTGTCAGTGGGCCAATAGTAGTGGGAGAGTAATTAGGGTTTGTATTGAGGCGGAAACAGAGGGCTTTTACAAAATGGTGGGTTAGTCTTTCAGTGGAGTCTCCGAAGGGTGAGGAGTTTGAGGATAAGAGAGAAATGAGGCGGTGGGCTGAAGGGAAATCGAGGTGGGAAATGAGCTCGGCGCAGGTAATGAGTAAGTGGCGGAGGTGGGTTGGTGAAATGCTTGGTGACGTTGACATAATCAACGAAGGCTGATCAGAAATGTGATGGTGGTGGAGGTGGTGGTGATATAATTGTAGATCTGAGATGTTGTTGTTGTTTGGGTGGTTTAGATGATCTTCTTCTTCTTCTTGTTGGATATGGGAAGAATGGAATGAGCCCATGAGCATTCACTCGTTGGTGATGAGATCTTCACACAAATGATCACCAATTATATATCCTGATTGATCAGATGAGCTTTGAGCTTAGGTAGCTAGCTGCTGCTTTCTTCAATAACTTGTGATCTGCTGGCGCAGTCATATATAGCTGTGGCAATAAGTAGCAGCAGCAAACTGTGATACCAGGTATATTTGGGGAAACTGGTCTCTCCCCCCTCCCTCTCCCTCTCCTCTCCGACACACAAATTAATATATATATATATATATATATATATATATATATATATATATATATATATATATTTTATTAAACAGATATGTAAGAAATTAATTACAACCTCTGGAAACCTGGAGCCTAGCTCACAAGGGTTTCAAGAGATATAACATTTCAATTTCTGATCATTGTTAAAAGAGAAATTATCATGATCAATTACGATGTTAACCACTCGTCTAAGTTCGTTCCACAATGAAAAATGAATATGAAAAGTAAAAGGCAAGAGAAAGAGATATATATCATGACCAGATCTTCTCTAGGAAGGGTTTTTAATAAGATGTGATCTCATCATGTGTTACGCTGTTGGGAGCAGCTTCCCATGAGGATGATTATCTTCCAGAAACTGAAATGCTTGCATTAGTCAGTAACAGTGTCACTGTACACTACATTACCCTCTCTTACGTACAATTATTGCATAAACTTATTTTTCTGTTCTTTAACATTTTTTTTTATAAAAACTGTATGATATATATAGTACTTGCATATTACTAACAAGCCCAATGTTTTTGTTCCTGACAAATCAATTCCGGTTCAGTCTACTATATATATTAGATACCTGCAGTGAGTTATTATCAATACGATATATTAAGAAAACTCTCGCTGTCAACTTTTTCTCACATTTTTTTCAATTTTGCCCTCACTTTTAAGACTCTTGATAAAAAAGGAGGGCAAAATAGTAATTTTGTAAATTTTGACAAAATAACAATCATATCCCTATTTTTCCTATTTTATCCTCACTTTTGATACACAATATTTACATAAGAGAGAAAAATGGTAATTATGTAATATTAAGAAAAATATGCCCTTATTAAGAGATAGCATCATCATTGTCTCATACTTTTTTAAAAAAAATTAAAAACTAATCACACTCCTTAATAAAAAAACAAATCCTTAATCAAAAACAAAAAAAAAAGAAAATGAAATTGTTCACACACAAAGTGTGTGCTCATCTTCTAGTGATATTTTAATTGTACACCTCCATATTGCAGCCTACATAGAGTAATATGTCCAACAATATGTGTGTGTGTAAGTAATCTGTTTCTCTCTGCAACAACAATTTACAAGATGTCTCTCTCAAGGTTATCCATGACATTAATATTGTTGATCACATTGAGAACTCCATCCAACAATGGTGGGACATCCACAACATATTTAGAAAGTTAAAAGTATTATTACAGGATGCTTTTATTAGATATTTGGCATTATGTATATGGTGTCTAATTTTAGTGTTATTGTAAACAAGTACCTAACTATTGAAAATGTCGCATCCGTTAAGTCTTAATTAATTTTTTTTCATAAAATGTACATGTGGCAATAATGGGTCCTACTTATTTGCTTACTTGGACACTAAAAAAATAACTTCAAAAAAGACATGAAGATGAAAAAATAAAAATAAGTAAACAACTTCACAAATAAAAGGGGAAACAAAAATGAAGATTGCGAAATCTCCTAACAAAGAAGAGGGTTAAGAATTCAGATAGGGTTTCAAGGAGCTTATTCCTACTCATATGGTTTCCTCGTTCACCGATTTTCGGCTAGTAAAGCGTCCAGTTCGTCTTTGTAGGCAATAAAGAAGGGTGGTGGTCACATCATGGCAATCCATACCATTTCAATAACTTCCATGATATTTTTCTCGATGTTGACGGCTTGAATTGTAAGGTGGAGTTTGTGGTCTTGCATTGTGTTTGGAGGTAATGGCCTGAAGCGGCAATGGTGATCGTTACTTGGTGAAAGCTATGCTTCCATGACCTTCTATTGATGTTGGAGACAAAATAAGCCCTAGTTAATTTAACAAAAATTTAATAAGAGCTTAACGGATGTAACATTTTCAATATGTTGGGCACTTGTTTGGAATGTTTAAAAAAGTTGAGACCAATTTGGAATGACACTAAGAGGTAAGGGGGTTTAAGGTGCTTAATCATAAAATAAAATTCATTTGATTAAATTCACCAATAGATTAACAATCTGGCGCTGGTGACTCACATAATAACAGTTAGGAGGATGTTAAAATATCTTTATGAGTTTTTTCAGCCTCTAGAAGGGTGAACTGCCGTGATAAAGCCACAGGCTGGTTCCTTTAAAAGAATATGTAATACTATGTTTATCTATAATTAATCAAAGATTCAAATGTTTGAACATGTGTGCTGTATTCATACATAAGAGCAAGTCCACCCCGAAGGACTTTGTGCTAGCACTCAGCGCATTTATCCACTCCAAACAGTAATAAACCCATATAAACAGTAATAGGCCAAAACATCTTCACCCCTAACAAAAAAATAGCCTAGTCCATTTTATTAAAATATTATTATTTTTTATTATAAAATAATAAAAAATAATAATTTGGTAGTGAGCTCTCTCTCTCTCTCCTTCACCATCACCGTGAGCCCTCTCTCTCACCCTCCCCATCTCCACCCTCCATCAAATCTCCACCTCCCCTTCACCCTCCGCTTCCTCTCCACCGCCCTCCGCGGTCTGACCCGCCCCAAACTAGTCGACATCGGCGCCTGGGCTCGCCAGCTCCAAACCTGCCGCCTCTAGACCTACGCCCTGACCTTCAGCTGCATCGTGGGATTTGATGTCATCGTCCTCAACAGCTTCCAAGACCAGCTCGTCCTCAACAGGAAGTTCCGGGTGGGCAGCCTCGTCCTCGAAGGTAGCGTCGTCCAGCCGTCTTCCTCGTCGGAGACGGAGTTCGAAGCATCGGGACGGGGTTCCAGGCGTCGGACGCCACGCTGGCGTCAGATGGACCGGGCCACGCCTCAGTCAATTTTGGACTGGGCTAGAGACCGGCTTAGGCTGGGTGCCAGTCAATTGCGTCGGCTGGAGGGGATTCACTGGGTGCTAGCCTATTTTTTCAGCTGGGTGCTGGGCAAAAAGCCCTCCGGTGGAACTGCTCTAAGGGACATGTGAAATGGAGGAAAATACTGTTTCTCAAACCGTACATTGTCCAAATTGATTCTGGGTCAAGGGGAATCAATCGTTGACTTAGGAAGTTAGTTTAGTCGCTTGGATTATTAAATAAACACCCATGCTCCAAAGTATAGCTGCTAAACTAGCTAGCTATAGTTTATGTTGAAGAATGCACAAAGAATCCCATGTTAGAAATTGACTAAATAATTAAAAAAAAAATTTTCATTTTGTTGTCGCATGGTAATGAATGATTAAACGCTTAATAAAATTGAGACTTTTTGTTATTAGATCTTGTACTTGATGTATTAGTAGTAGGTGGTAAGACAAAAATTAAAAATAATTGTTAATGTAATTAGCAGTGAGCCGCTAATTTATTTCTTTGAAACCATTACGTTGAAAGGGGTCGGTCATATCTAGTTAATTAATTCACAGTTAATATTCATGGAATAAGATTTTTTTTTTTTTTTTTTTTTTTTTTGAGGGTGTGCCAGGCCAATGCAATAGTACAATGCAAAGGCGACTTGAGAGCCCTAACAACAAGCTACTGTAACAGACTCTCCCCTTAAAGAAATTAATTTAATATCAAGTGAGTCATTGCCTCACGTATCAGATATTAAACTGATAAGAACATATGCTACACTTGATCTTAGCCAAAAGGCCAAGAACATATAGATTCCTTAGCAATAATTTCCAAATAAAGATGCACACACAAATTGAACATGGAGTTTCTAATTTCAAACCCTATACTGAAACCCTAGCTTTGTAGTCACATACCACAATTTGCTATGTTTGGAAAACTACACAAAGCTTGGGATTTGGGGAGCTGGAAATACAAGTTGCTTCCTCCCTGAAAATAATTGTATTGTAAATATGGAAATTTGAAACCTCGTTATATAAAGTTTGGTAATTAACCGTATTCACTGTTCAATATCAATAATGAATTAATCAGTTTCCGTGCAGGGAAGAATCTTTCTAGGGTTTGGAAGATAATATCTTTCATTCATGGTAGGAGTAGTAGGACTGTCAGTAGGAGCATGGCTTTCGTTCAGGTTTTGAATCTTGACGAATTATCCTCCTAGCTGCTAGTTGTCATGCATCCGTTTGTGAATTATATGGAAGTGCATTGTCTGCCCTCTCATTTTCATACTTTTCTCATTCATTTTTGTTTGTGTGGTCATGATTAACTGTGAACATACAAAATAAGAAGGGATGTGAAAAGTATGGAAATGGGAGAGCAGACAATCCACCTCCGAATTATATACGCAATAAGAAACTCATATTTAAAGAATTATTTTTATTTAAAAAATCTATATACGTTTTATGTATTTTTAAAGGTAGAGGACGTCATTGTTATTCATTTTTAAACTTCTTATATTCATTTTTAATAGTATACACATAACGTAAACATTCAATGGTTGACTTACAAGCAATGTAACGTTATATATATTGTCGAAGTTAACTGCCCAAGGTTACATAATAATGCTTACAGTTAACATACATAATAATATTAATTGTTATTAGTATAGACTAACCCATTGATATAGGATACCTCCTAATACCTCTTTTACATATATGGATCGTCAAAACTCTGCAAGAGAAGGAAAAGCAAAGTGTTTTTAATGGATTTCTATGTGTGCATTTTCACCTGGTAATACTTGGTGGACCCCTGGCTATATATACATGATCAATTGCACGATTGGCATCTTGAGAAAAAATAATAAAAATTTCAATAGCAGCAGAACAGGAGAAGGCTTCACCAGGATTCAAGGGGACACATAAAACAAAGCCTCTTCTCCCGATCTCTCCTTCTATTCCTCTTACTTTTAGGCCTCGTTTGGCTAGCCATCAGATAGTACTAACTAAATTAGTCGAACGTTTGATGCAATATCAAACTAATGATCATATTATTTATATTGTGTTTGACACTGAATTGAAAAAAAAAATTAACAGGAAGCAAATCCTATCGTAAGATAGGAAGCAAATGAAAAGCCCCAAATTAGAGCAAAACCTAATTTGAAAAAAAGGGTAAATTAAGGATTATTCTTTGGCAGTGTTCATCCCCAGTGATCTGCAATGGTTGAAAGCAATCGCGTCTGATACAATGTGGGGATGCCGTAATGAATTTTGTGCTTTCTGGGTTTGAGTTTGTGCAGTGGTTCAAGGCGGCAACAATTCGCAACCATGAGATCACCTTTCAAGATACAATAGCAGTGGCAGACTCGCGTGCAAGATGATAATGCGAGCAGTTATAGAGAAGTAGTGGGTCATGGGCAGCGACGATGTGGGTTCTCAGAATGAGTTGATTCAGGTGGCGAAGACGGTTTTGGAGCGGTGCAGCTCTTCGGTTCTAGTTCGATATGCCACCATGGATGTCTGAATAGGGACGGCATGGCCTGGGCTTAATTTGCCACCTCGGATTTTCTGTTTGTATGATGTTGATAAGAGGTGAGGAGGGTGAAGAAAGAAGGAATACTTGGATGAGGTTTCGCGATGCGAGCAGAGAGGTTGAATTTGTGACCCGACTAAATTATACGGGGGTTTTGGGGAGTATAACTTAGCAGATGGGGGTATTAAAATGGTGAGACCGGTTTAATTTACTTAGTGCGTAATTAGTACATATAAGCACCAAATACCTTTTACTGTATTACTTATACTATCCGATCCTTTATACGGCGTGACAAACGAGGCCTTAGTGGTTTCAATCAAGTGTACTTTCCACATTAGATCTATGCATATTTCCCAAAGTGTTAATTTCTTTGGAAAAACAGTTGAAGGCTTCACCGTGCTGTCAAAGTAGAAAATGCTACCCCATACTTTTTTCTTTACAAAACTCATGAGAGGTAACGTAGCCAGTTGAGCTCCACGCACCACCACAAGAAATGTCAGTGTGTTTGTACGAAAGACATGGAAAATATCTTTACTTCTTACTTCTAACCCTCCATTTACTAAAAAATAAAACTCTATAAGTGTTGTGGCTTAGGAATTGGAACATTAGGGTAAATTTTAGGGTTTGTCTCTCACACCACCTAGTACTTTGATATTGTTGTTATATGAACTTAGATTATATATAGTTTTTATAAATATGTACACGTTTCATAATAAAAAGAAGATTAAGCATCGTGTGACTTTGTGATGGACACGCTAATATCTACTAAGTACAAGATTTAATTACCTAATTAGGCCATTTGTGTACTCAAGAGATTCTATATTTTACGGTTGTTGTAAAATTAGAAGTTAAACGATCGATGATTGGTGCTCAACTAACTACTCATTATTCTAAAATGAGCCATATGAATAATTCATGTGGTGGTACTATTAATAATTCATGCAGGAGATTAAAGAACAAGGTGTTTTATGCAGGAGATTAAAGAATAAGGTGTTTTCTGGACATATTTCTTTTAAAGTTACTACAGGATGACACTTAATAATTGAAACAGAACTAAAAAAGTACACAAGTACAAGAGAAAGACTGTTGATCCTGCTGACAAGTAAATAAAATTGCACTTGTATGTGAAATCAATAGTGCAAATGCATAATAAATGTGTACCGGTTCTGCAGGCCAATTGCGATATGGAAGAGCTAGAAATTCAATCAGCAGAGGAAACAAAAGAAAAACAAGAAGATAAGAGAAAAGCATCAACCAGCAGCAGTAATGAATGAATTAGGAAGTAGGAGGAAGGAGGAGAGAACCTTGCATGGCACAAGTATACAATTATTGTGACGTTTTTTGTTAATTAATTATACAATGTTATTGAAAAAAAATTTACACATGACACTGTATAATTAGTATGAAACATCCCGATTGTAGTATATCTATTTCATGTAAGTTCTTAAAAATGAGATAGGTAGGAACCTGAGAGGTGGGAACAGGAATTTTAGGGCAAAAATAAATGGATGGAGGTGGAGCAGTATATTTGTTACTTTTTTTTTCTTCTGCATCGATCTCCTTTCTGTATTCAATTTTCAACAACAACAACGATTACACGCAAAGCCTTAAATGTGGAATAATATTATTGCTTTTACATGCTTGCTCTTGCTGCACATGTCACCAGCGTAGGCCAAACCCTGATCTTCGCTCAACGCTGACACCTGGGTTTTCCTTGTTTGTCTCTCTTGTTGGATTCGCTGGGTCTTTGGCATCATCATGCATTCCCCATGTGGATGGATGCGGGTGTGGCTGTCTTTTCACTTTTCAATGTTATTCACTTGGTAAATAGTAAATATAAATATACTATTAAACACACACACATACATATGATATATATGTATATATGTGGATAAAAGATCATGATAAAGTCAACAAAATGAAATGGCATCCTCGTTTTAATGTTAGGGTTAAAGCATTTTACGGTTCAAAGTATAGTTGGCACTTGGCAATGTTCTTTTGGATTTATGTACACGTTCGAATGTTTATAAAGTCAGAAATGAAACTAAAATCATATTAACATTTTGGTGAGAATCGGAATGGATCAATGTGTTCGTAGTCAAAGCCTTGATAACATCTATAAACATCTTACGTTACTAAACAACCTGCTAGATAACATTTCTCAAAATTTAATATTTTAGTAAACAGCACTAGTAAGTTTATGCATCCTTTTCGATTGAAGAAATGTAGATGCAGATAGGCTAATATCCGTAGCCAACATGAATGTTGCCCCTAGGACTACTTCAGCCCTAACAAGCGAGATTTTCATTAAACGAATTCAGCATCACCGTAACTTTCTAGCCCCAAACACCACGAACTGTGATAAATCTGCTCCTATCTCTTTCTCCCCAACGAGCGGCTATATGAAATTTAACCAGGTATTGAGAGAGAAAATTAAAAGTCTCACCCACTGACTCAACTACTCATTAGTGTAGGGACGTCTGCTTTGAACTATTTTATATGCATGCTTAAGATAAAAGGAAAACGCAAAGATTGTAGATGCCAGAAGGAGAAACACCCCACATACACACAGATTGTGAATCTAAAACAGGTGCAAGTTTATGCAAGAATCAACATTATAACGGCAAACAGTGAAATATTTGATTGAAACATCCAAAAGTTACCGTCCAAAATAATTGAAGAAACAGATAAAATGAAAACACAAAGTTTGTCCAAGCCAAAAGGAGAAAACCCCCACATAGCAAAAAAGTTCTGTCGAATCCATCCCTACAGGTGATGCAATCAATGCTCAACTTACTTGCTGGAGATGGAAGCCCATGTATGCACCTATATATTTTCTGTCATCAGTATCAAAAGGTACAGGGAGGAACAGAATCAGAAATGATCAATGATCTACACAAGCAATCCCTACAACTCTTCTGTCTCAATGTGTCTTGTGTGGTCCTACTACAAACCCTAGCACGTAGGTGTGGGTATATATGGCTGTTTATCCCGTGTTTTTTGTTTTTCTTTTAGATTATTAAGCAGCTCCCTGCTAACATAGTAAGATAGTTGTCATTAGATTAGATGGATCATCAGAATCGGCGCATGCAATAGCAGTAGTGCTCAGTCATGTTAACAAACTAAATAAAAAGAAAATTAGAAAGAATGATAAGCTACGAAAGTAAAAGTAATCTAACGGTATACCTTGGCTTATTTTCTTATGTAGAGGCCCTTTTGTTTATTAAAACCCATTTTATGGATTTAGAGATAGTTGTATCAAGAGGTTTGTTGGTTAGATAAAA